TCGGAGCAGACGGGGGCGGGGACTCGGGGGTGGGGTGGCGTCAGAGCAGACAGGGGAGCGGCGGGACTCAAGGCGGGGGCGGTGAGCATGGAAAGCTGGAGGAGCCAGTAAAGGGGCCTGGAGAAGAGAGGAAACCAGGAGAGGTGGCACCCTGGGCAGGAGGACCCCAGGGTGGTCCGGGCAAGAGGAGGGGCTGCAGCCACAAGGATGACTGGGGGCTGAGAGGCATGGACCTCACAGTACCTTGGGCACCCAGGGCGGGCAGCTCCCTCTCCAGGGCTCTCCTGTTGGCAGGGGGCGGGGGGCCCACAGTCTGTTGTCCTGGGTGCCAGTCTTCCGGGCGGGGCCACCCCAGCTGGGATCACCAGGCTCAGAGGGCTCCCTGGAGGAGGGGATCCAGGTAGGCCTGAGGCTGGAGAAAGCCTTGTGGGGAGGGTTCATTGTGGCCCTCAGAAGCAAGTGAGGGCCTGGGGGGTTCAGTGGCCTGAGCCTGGACAGTTGAGGGAGGGGAGGCTGAGGGGCATGGTCCAGGCCTTGGCGGGTGCTGGGACACAGGGGAGGGGCCACAATTCAGGGGGCCCTGGATAGCTGCACATCGTCCACCCCAGGAGCAGCAGAGCAGGTGGTGGACATGCAGACCTATGAGGGGCATGGGTGAGGGGTTGCACCCAGGAGAGGGGGTGAGAGGATGGGGCGCAGGGCAGAGCCTCCAGGCCTCCAGCACAGAGAATCAGGGCAGGGTGGTGGTGGTGGTGGGGGGCACCTGTAAGGGACAGAGGAGCAGAAGGAAACCAGAGGCCCAGGGCAGGGCTGACCCTACTTGGCTTTCTGTGGAGGGGAAGCTGGGGAAAAGGTGCAGGGGCCAGCCCGGTGGCATAGTGGTTAAGTTTGCACGCTCTGCTTCGGTGGCCCGGGGTTGGCGGGTTCGGACCCCGGGCGCAAATCTACACACTGCTCATCAAACCATACTGTGGTGGCGTCTCACATACAAAATAGAGGAAGGCTATCACAGATGTTAGCTCAGGGACCATCTTCCTCAAGCAAAAAGAGTAAGATTGGCAGCAGATGTTAGCTCAGGGCCAATCCTCCACACACACACTAAAAAGAAAGAAAAGGTGCAGTGAATGTCAGGTGGGAGAGAGAGGCCAGAGGGCATCTCTGAGGAAGTAGCAGGTGGGCTGTGGCCCTTCCACCGAGCGGGGACACCCCGCCCTGGGCCCTCACCCTGGAAGACTCGTCCACCTGCACTGTGTTCCTGTGACCCCGCCAGGGTCGCCTCTGAGCCCCAGGCCAGGCAGAGGAGGGAGGAAGGTGATGCGTGGGCAGACACAGTCCTGGCCGGCCCTGGACTTCTCTCTGACCGCTGACCTCGCACACTCCCACCCTCTGGGCAGCCTCCCGCCCGGTGACCGGGGCCCCGGGCGAGTCCGGGGGCCCTTCCCGACCTCAGCCCCACAAGGGCTGCTGCAAGGACCCCGGCGGGCGAGCGGGTGCCCTTACCGCGGGGGACCCGCCCGCCCTGCCGCCCCCAGGCACCACATCCACTACGTGATCCCGTACGACGGGGACCAGTCGGTGGTGGACGCCTCCGAGAACTACTTCGTGACAGACAACGTCACCAAGCAGGAGATCGACCTCATGCTGGGGCTGCTGCTCGGCTTCTGCATCAGCTGGTTCCTGGTGTGGATGGACGGCGTCCTGCACTGCGCCGTGCGCGCCTGGAGGACCGGCCGGCGCTACGGTGAGCGGGGGCAGTGGGGGCGAGCGCGGCCGGGAGCCGGGCGGGAGCGCCTGACCTCCGGCCTCCAGACCACGCCACTGACCACGCCCCACCGCGGCAGCCCCGCCCCTGACGCCCCATCACGCTCCCGCCCCACCACGCCCCGCCCGGCCCTGTTCATACCACAAGACCACGCCCCTCCACGGCCACTGCCACACCCGCCCCCGCCTGACTGCACTCCGTCCTGGCCACGCCCCTTGACCCCGCCCCCTTCTGGCCCCGCCCCCGCCCCCCCCGACCGCGCCCATGCCCGGCACGGGCCCCTCCTGACCCCCGCCCACTCCAGCCCCAGTCCTGGCCCCGCCCCTGACCGCGCCCCGCCCCCGCAGACGGCTCGTGGACCTGGCTGCCCAAGCTCTGCAGCCTGCGGGAGCTGGGCCAGCGGCCGCACAGGGCCTTCGAGGAGGCGGCGGGGAACATGGTGCACGTGAAGCAGAAACTCTACCACAACGGCCACCCGAGCCCGCGGCACCTCTGAGCCGCGCAGGACTCGCGGGGCCGCCGGCCACCGCGCCCACCTACACGAGACTGGACGGCCACCCCGGGCCAGGGCGCCCGCGGCCACCGGGCGTGTCCAGCGGAAGGTGCTGTCTCCTCTTCTTTTTATAAAGGGGTCGGGTGGGGCCGAAGGGGCGGCCGCCGGTCTCGGGGACCGGGGTGCGGCGTGCCCGGAGTGGGGGCGGGGACACCGGGGACGGTCGGGCCACCCGCGCCCCGCAGTCCTGCCTGCGCCAGGCCTGGGACCACGACTGCTACTTAAAACCGGCTGTCCCCTGTGCGCCCGTCGCGCATCCGGCTTCGGATCCAGTTCTGGCGGAGGGGAGTGAGGTCGGGACAGGATCTCGGCGGGGAAGGGGCGGGAGCCCGGCCGCACCCACATCTGCACCGGGGCGTCCGTGGGCTGCAGTGGGGAGGCGGGGGCAGGGGTCTGAGGGAGGCCCCAGCCCAGCAGCAATAAGGCCCCTGAGCCCCGCTGTGGCAAGTGTAGCCACCCTGCCCAGGGCATCCCGGGTCGGGCGCCTCACTGTGACCCCACCCCTGCTGGTCAGTAAACTCCAGAAAGCTCCAGCCTCCGCTTCTTCTCTCACCTGACCTGGTGACCCCTCGCGTCAGCCATGAGAGACAGACACTGTAAGGTACCATGTCAAGTTTTTATTAGATTCTGGATAAAAAAACCCCAACTCCAGTTGAGGGAGAGCTGTGGCTCCTCTGGGCCAGGGCAGTCCCCCAGCACCGGACGTCCCTGGCCAGTGGCCTCAGGCGCAGCCAGCCTGGGTTTATCACCATTCGGGTGGGTCTATCACGGTCACAGACGTGTGTGAGGCAACCCCCTCTCCCCAATACAGTGGTGGGCAGCTCTGACTGGGCAGCACAGGGGCCTGCTCTGCTCACTCCTTGCTCAATTCTCGTCCCGGGTGGGACTGGGCAGTCAGGCCCCCATCCATGCTGGCCCTCCCCAGCCAGCACCACAGCCTGGAGGGGGCAGACTGGGGGATTGCCCACCACAAAGATGCCACAGCTGCAGCTGGTCCTGAGCAGAGGCCTTTAGTGCTGACTGCGGGAATATTAAAAATGCGGGGGAGGTGGGTGGCCACGCAGTGCCCCCAATGGCTGCCAGGAGACATGGGCGCCTCGGTGCTGGTGCTTCCTCTTGGCGACACCGTGGGGCGTGTGCCCCAGGCGTCCAGGCCCAGCTCACTCAGCCCGTGCACTCCGGAGCGGAGGCTGGCTGCCCTCGAGCCCAGCTCTTTCGGCCTTCAACCACTGCATCTTCTGCTGGTGCTGCTGGATGGCGTCCTGGACCCGGGCATCCATCATGGCCTCAGTGAGGACCCCGTCCTCCGAGGCATATGCCATGGCCTAGCAGGGAAAGAGCGCTGAGGGAGGGCACCAGAGGGGCTGCCTGCACGAGGCAAGGGTCTCCCGGCCTCAGGCTTTCAGGGCCCACAAGTCACCAGGAACTGTCTATCCTGCAGGACAGGGCCAGACCAACCCTTGCTGCCACTTGGCCCCCACCGGTGAGCCCGTCTCTTGGAGATGCCCTCCACAACTGGAAGGCCTCCTGCGGGGCGGGGGAAGGTGGAATACAAAGCCTGGGATGCTGAGTCCACCAGAGAGATGGCTGGCCAGCACCCTCCCCCTGGGCCTGCACTCAGCCTCAAGAGGATACTGGCCTTTCTGACATGCCCACAGCACACTCCTCACCCCCCGTGCATCCAAGTGTGCCCACACACGTGTAGTCACAGGCGAATCCGCAGCCTAGGTAGCTGCCATCCCGGTAACGCCCACGGCCCTGCCTGCGTCCCGGCTGCCATCAGGCTGCCTTCTCGCCCACTGAGTTTCTCAACGACTTGCTACAAGCAGAAAGCCTGAGGCCAGCTGTCAGGAAGCAGCCCCCCACCCCACGCCCTGACCTGGAGGGCCCCTCCTTCATGGACAGCAGAGCTGCCCTCAGAGCCAGGGCAGAGAGCAGAACCACCATAGGCCATTCGGGGGCAGGTCCATTCTGACACCAAGGGGACGGCAAGGATCCGGGCAGAGAGCTCCCCAGGAGCGCCAACAATTCCGACTGAGTCAGAGTGGCCTCACCAGGTCAAACTGCCCCCGAACACTTAGTAGCTGTCATCCACCAGGACCTACCTCTCACAGGGCCCCCAGTGTCTGCAAACAGTCCTCCCAGAACCGTGGGCTGCTGAAAGCCAGGCCACTGTCCAGGAATCCCACTCCAAACTTTGGCAGGCATGGGTGCAGGCACCTAAGTTTTGCTACTCGGGCCCCTGTATTGTCCACATCACCTCAACTACCAGGCAGGTCACCTGTGGCCAGGCCGCCCCCCCTCCCAGATGACGCAGTGCCCCACCTGCTTCCTGTCACCTAGCCTGTCACTCTGCCGGAGGTGTGACACACGGCCAGTGTGAGGACAGCACTCGGTGTCCACCAAGCTCAGGGGGGCCTGAGCCAGTCCAGCTCTCTCCCTCCAGCGACCTGAGCGGCTTTGGCCCATGTGGGGCATCGTGAGCAAGTTCCCACCATCTAAAATAATCAGTTGCTCTGCTCACACAGGCTGGCCCTGTCTCAGGACATGGCCGTCCTCAGTGCCCAGGCAAGGCTGTGGAGAGAGGGGCTGCCCCTGCCGCCTCTTCAGAGCACACGGGCTCTGAACAGTAGGAGAGGACAGAAGGGAAGAGACCTACGGGGAGCGCTCCGGCCTTGGGGCTCGCATGGGTCAGGGTCTGAGCTTTCCTCGCGGAAAGGGGCAGGTAGAGGGAGTGCAGCTGCTCCTTCTGGAATCTCAGAGCACCGAAGCTGACACGTTCACCCAAGGGGCTGGCCTTAGTGATGCACTTCCAAATACATGAGGAAAAGGGGAAAATAGTGACTTTGCCGTGGAGAGACCTGGCGGCCACCACCATAAGCAGGTGATCCAGGCCAAGGTCTCTCTGATGTCATGTGGATGTCAGGTACCCCTGATATGATGTGACCAGAAGGGCACCTCACCTCTGGGTTCTCCTGAAACCCACAATCCCAGTCTAATCATGAGAAAAACATCAGACAAACCCAGAGGGACCTTCTACGTAACACCTGACCAGCCCTCCTCAAAATTGCCAAGATCATCATAAACTAGGGACATGTGAGGAACTGTCACAGCCCAGAGGAGCCTGGGGAGACCTGACAACTGAATGTAATGGGGAATCCTGGATGGGGTCCTGGGGTGAGATGGAGTCCAATGGGGAGGCAGTAGTGATGTGCAAATGTGCCTCGTGATGAGACATTCACAACAGGGCAAGGGGGCAAGAGGCACAGGAGAGTGCCCTGTGCTATCCCTGCAAATTTGCTGGGAACCTCAAATTATTCAAAAATATTTAAAAGTTTATTTTAAAAAAAGGCAAGGGGCCAGCTCGATGGCGTAGTGGTTAAGTTCTCGCGCTCTGCTTCGGTGGCCCGGGGTTCGCGGGTTCAGATCCTCGGCATGGACCTATGAACTGCTTAGCAAGCCATGCTGTGGCGGCGTCCAACATATAAAGTAGAGGAAGATGGGCACAGATGTTAGCCCAGGGCCAACATTCCTCGGCAAAAAGAGGAGGACTGGCAACAGATGTTAGCTCAGAACTAATCTTCTTCACCAAAAAAAAAAAAAAAAAGAGAGGCATGCCCTGGACCTGATGGCTTCACTGGTGAATTCTACCAAATGCTCTGCAAAGAACTAACACCAATCCTTCTCAAACTCTTCCAAAAAACTGAAGAAGAAGGAACACTTCCTAACTCATTCTATGAGCATAACCCTGATACTAAAACCAGACAAAAACACAAGAAAACTACAGACCAATACCCCACTATGAATATTGACCCAACAAAATATTAGTAAACCAAATTCAGTAGCATATTGAAAGGATCATACACCATGCCCAGGGGGTATTTACTCCTGGAATGCAAGGATGGTTCCACACAGGAAAATCAATCAGAGTTAACATGTCACACTAACGGAACAAAGGACAAAACCACATGGTCATCTCAATTGATGCAGAAAAAGCATGTGGCAAAACTCAACACCCTTTCATGATGAAAACACTCAATAAACTAGGTATAGAAGGAAATTTCCTCAACATGATAAAGGCCATATATGAAAAACCCAGAGAAAACATCATTTCAAAGGTGAAAGACTGAAAGTTCTTCCTCGAAGATCAGGAAGAAGACACGGGTGCCCACCCTCACCACTGCCATTCAACAGAGTACTGCAAGTTCTAACCAGAGCAGGTAGGCAAGAAAAAGAAAGAAAAGGGATCCACATTGGAAAGGAAAAGGTAAAATTATCTGTTTGCAGGTGATATAATTTTATATGTAGTAAATCCTAAAGATTCCCCCCAAAACTGTTAAAAGTAATAAATTCAGCAAAGTGGCGAATACAAAATTAACACACAAAAATCATTATGTTTCTATACAGTAACAGTGAACAATCCAGAAAGGAAATTAAGAAAACAATTTCATTTCCAATAGTATCAAAAAGAATAAAATACTTAGAAATTAACTAAGGAGGTGAAAGACTTGTATGCTGAAAACTACAAAATATTGCTGAAAGAAATTAAAGAAGATAGCAAAATCTAGGAAGATATCTGTGTTTACGCACTGGAAGACAATACTGTTATGATGTCAATACTACTCAAAGCAATCTATAGATTCAGTGCAATCCCTATCAAAATTTCAATGATGTTTTTTGCAGAAATAGAAAAATCCATCCCAAAGTTCATATGGAATCTCAAGGGACCCTGAATAGCCAAATTAATCTTGAAAAAGAACAGAGTTGGAGATCTCACACCTCCTGATTTCAAAACTTACCAGAAAGCTACAGTAATCAAGTCAGTGTGGCACTGGCATACAGACAGACACACAGACCAATGGAATAGAATAGAGAGCCCAGAAGTAAACCCTCACACGTACGGTTAAATGATTTCCAGCAAGGGTGCAAGACCATTCAGTGGGGAAAGGATGGTCTTTTCAAATAATGGTGCTGCGAAAACTGGATATTCATAGGCAAACGAATGAAGCCCTACTCCTACCTCACACTACATACAAAAATGAAACCAAAATGGATCAAACATCTAAAGTAAGACCTCAAACTATAAAACTCTTTGAAGAAAACCCAGGGGAAAAGCTTCCAGACACTGGATTTGGCAATGATTTCTTGGCTATGACACCAAAAGCACAGGTGACAGAAGAAAAAGACATAAATTGGAATTCATCAAAATTAAAAACTTTTGTGTGTCAAAGGACACTAAAAAAGGCAACCCACAGAATGGGAGAAAATATTTGCAAATCACATATATGAAAAAGGATTAATATCCAGACTATATAAAGAACTTGTAAAACCCAACGGCAAAAAAACAAACAACCCAATTCAAAAATGGGCAAAGGACTTGAATAGACTTTTCTCCAAGAAGACATACAGATTACCAATAAGCCCACGTAAAGATGCTAAGCATCAGCAATCATTAGGGAAATGCACATGATAACTACTATGAGATACAACCTCACACCCACTAGGATGGCTGCTGTCCACAAAACACAGAACAACACATGTTGGGAGGATGTGAGAAGCTGGAACCCCGTGTACTGTGGATGGGAATGTAAAGTGGTGCAGCAACTGCCGGAAACACTATGGAGGTTCCTCAAAAAGTAAACGCAGAACCACCATATGACTCAGCAATCCCACTTCTGGGTGCACACTCACAGGAACTGAAAGCAGGGTCTGGAAGAGATGTCTGCACACTCATGCTCACAGCAGCATTGTTCACACTCTGCCAAAAGGTGGAAGCAGCCCAAGTGTCCATCAGCGGCTGAATGGATTAACAAAATATGATATATCCACACAACAGATTATTATTCAGCCTTAAAAATGAAGGAATTCTGACACATGCTACATGGATAGACCGTGAGGACATTATGCTGAGTGAAATAAGCCAGTCACAAAAGGATAAATACTGAATGATTCCACTCGTATGAGGTACCTGGAGTCATCAAATTCATACAGAAAGTAGAATGGAGGTTGCCGGGGGTTGGGGGAGGGGAATGAGGTGTTGGTGTTTAATGAGGACAGTTTGTTTGGGAGGCTAAAAAAGATCTGGAGGGGCCGGCCCTGTGGCCTAGTGGTTGTTCGGCATGCTCAGCTTCGGTGGCCCAGGTTCGGTTCCCGGGCATGGACCTACACAACTCGTTGGCGGCCACACTGTGCCAACAGCTCACATACAAAATAAAGGAAGATTGGCACAGATGTTAGCTCAGGGCAAATCTTCCTCAGGAGAAAAAAAAAAAAGATCTGGAGACAGATTGCGGTGATGGTTGCATAACAATGTGAACGTGCTTAATGCCACTGAACTGTACGATTAAAAATGGTTCAGATGGCAAATTTTATGTTAAAAAAAAAAAGGCAGTAAATCCCCATGACAGGTGAGCTGGGGTGGTAAGAAGTGTGAACTCACACTGACAAAGCCACTGCGGTGGGAGCAGAAGCAGCAGTGGGTCTGTGCCCCGCCACCAAGGTGGGCTTCAGGGGATAAGTGCAGAGAGGTGCCGGCACACAGCCTGGAGGGAGGAGCTCCACAGCACCCAGCTCCAAGCCCTGCGCCTGGACACAAAGGGAGAAGGGTCAGGGGAGACGACCACACTCCTCTGGAGATGGTGGCCCCTCCTCTGCATCTCCCTCTTCTCTCCCAGGAGAGGGCAGGACTAACAGCCAGGCCTCGTACTGAGCTGACCAGTGACCAGACACACCCTGGTGTGAGACAGACACCCAGGGAGAGCGCCACTGGGTTCCTGGAGTCCACTCGCTTCCTCCCACACACGTGGGGTCTGATCATCCCCAGCTCTCCATCCGCCAGGCACGCGGTGGGCCTGTCACCTGGTTTGGGTAACGAGATGTGAAGAGAAAGGTGTGCTGGGTCTTGGTGGGAATGTTGAGAGCCAGAGCATGACCCACTGTCGGGCTGAATGTTTGTGTCCCCCAAATGCATACATGGAAGCCCTAACCCCCAGCGTGGCTGTTATTTGGAGTTGGGGTCTCTAACGAGGTAATGAGGGTGGGGCCTGATCCCTGTAGGACTAGCGTGCTTATAAGAAGTGACACCAGAGTGCTCCGTCTCTGCCACATAGGCACAGCGAGAAGGCAGCCGTCTGAAAGCCACGAGGAGGGCCCTCACCAGAACCCCACCCTGACCTGGGACCTCCAGCCTCCAGAAGCGTGAGAAATACGTGTCTGTGTTCAAGCTCCCTGGGCTGTGACATTTCGTTATGGCAGCCGAGCTGACTAAAACACCCTTTTCTCCACTTTGTTGGTTGTGGAAACAGAGCTACCCTCATGAGAGTCCTTAGCAAGGACAGCCTGGAGCAGAGCCCACCGCTGACCCACGTCAGTCGCAGTTTGTGATCTGAGTCTGTTACTGCAGCAAAACCTGGCTCAGGCTAACACAGTCCCCGTGAATCTGGACTCCGACATGCAAATCAAAGTAGATGTCTGTTTACTTAATAAAATACACATGGGCTCAGAAGCACTACTAACTGTACAGTGGCCGGGTTGCCACAGGGCCTCAGACACAACGAGCAGGGGCCCTGTGGAGGCAGCGATGCTGGCACAAAGATGGAGGCTGGCTGTAGACACAAGCCACTCAGCACCCTCCACCCAGCAGGGCTCCTCTCCTCGGCAACCAGCAAGAAGCAAATGCTTTCTAGATGGCTGCACCCGAGGCTCCTGGGGGTCAACTGCCTCCCCTGCCCCGGGATGCCCGTGGAACCGCTGCTGGGACATTTTAGAGAGGCAACTCTGGTGTCGGGAACAACAAGAGCCACTAGGGCCTGTGTGCCCTGAGCCCCAACACGGGGATGGAGCCAACAGTGAGCCTGTCCTCAGAGCCAGAACACCCAAGCGGGCGTCACGAACGGAGCTGACAATCCTAAATGCCAGAAGTCCCCAAGTGGGAAGGAAACCCCAGGCCCCTTGTCACGTCAGAGCCACTTTCTGGTTCCTCATCTCCTCTGCCCTCTGACGAGCCACAGCTCTTGGGACGGTCCACATCTGATCCAAGCTGTGTCCCCCTGGCCCTCCCACCTGTCTGTAGAGTCACCTGAGCCGACCGCCCTGGGCCCCAGCTTGGGACAAAGTCCAGAGGTTCCTGAGAAACTGAGCATGGGCCTGTGGGACTCTGACGCCCATATGACATGTGACTCGTTGCCAGAGAGCCCGTCTCGTTCAGAAACCCATCTGATTTGGACTAAAACATAATGAGGTGGGCCACAATATGCAAAGCCACTGATAGCCCTGCCCCATTCTCCCTGCTGTGGGTGCAGAGGCAGCTGGTGGCTAGAAAGTAGGACACCACATCACACCTGGGTGCAGAAAACCCTTCCACAGAGACACCTGGGGGGAGGCAGGTGCCAGCACGGGCTGCCTTCAAATGACTCTGAGGGACTCTGGATGGGACCAGCTCCCACCTGTGGGACGCATGTCCCCAACTCACCTGCCACGCCACAGCAAGCTGGGAGATCTCCCGGCCCGACATGCCCTCCGTCAGTTGTGCGATCTCTGAGCACTTCTTCCCATAATCAAACTGCGCCAGCTTCAAGCGCCTGGTAAGGAGGAGTTCCCTAGTGATGCCCAGGGCACCCACAGGGAGGGAGGGCTGGGACATCTACCAGAGTGTGTGTGTTGGGAACCCGCCGGGCAGGGCTCCCATCCAAACACCCCTCCTTTTAATGAACCAAACTCTGCCCCAATGTCCACTCTTGGTGCCAGGTCACCCGTTTGGCCCTTCTTTCCCTGCTGGGCACTTCCCTTCCTCCTGGAGCCTGAGGTGGGGTCCAGGCAGGGGCTGTGCAGGAAGGACGGCAGTGCTTGGGGTGCTCTGGGGGTAGCTGCAGGGCCAGTCAGGATGTGTGAGAATGGCGGGGCTCCTTGAGCGTGCACGACCCCACTGCGCACCCCTGGGGGCAGGGCCACGTCCCGGTCCCCCTCACTCCAGACCTCACCCAGTGCCCAAACACGGCAGCTGAAATTCCATCAGGGATGAGCTGAAATACGTGAGCAGGAAATCAAAGGGAGGAAGACCAGCACTCTCGAATCAGAGCAGTGTCACACCAGCATCCATGCACCCTTGATTCCCTCCCCATTCAGGTCTGGCTGAAGGCCTGAGAGGAACCACTCAGACACTCATGGAAAAGGCCTCAGGAACTCAGACCGCATGCAGTGTATGGGCTGTGGTCAGGCTAGGGTGGGCCATGGAGAGGCTGGGAGGACTGGGGCCCACCGGGGCCAGAGGAGGCGGCAGCCCAGGTAATGGAGCTCGAGGGCATGGGGCAGAGGGGCAGCAGGAGCAGAGGCACAGGTGCAACCCAACTGAAAGGGGCAACAGGGGCAGAGGGGCAGGCAGAGCCTGACTGAGAGGGGCAGAGGGGCAGAGGGGCAGGCGGAGCCTGACTGAGAGGGGCAGAGGGGCAGACAGAGCCCAACTGAGAGGAGCAGAGGGGCAGAGGGGCAGAGGGGCAGAGGGGCAGGTGGAGCCTGACTGGGAGGAGCAGAGGGGCAGAGGGGCAGAGGGGCAGGTGGAGCCCAACTGAGAGGGGCAGAGGGGGAGGGGCGGAGGGGCGGAGGGGCAGAGGGGCAGAGGGGCAGGTGGAGCCTGACTGCAAGGAGCAGAGGGGCAGGCGGAGCCCGACTCAGACGGGCAGAGGAGCAGAGGGGCAGGCGGAGCCCAAATGAGAGGGGCCAGAGGAGCAGAGGAGCGGAGGGCAGAAGGGCAGGGGGGCAGAGAGGCAGGCAGAGCCTGACTGAGAGGAGCAGAGGGGCAGAGGGGCAGAGGGGCAGGCGGAGCCTGTCTAAGAGGGGCAGAGGGGCAGAGGGGCAGGCAGAGCCTGACTGAGAGGAGCAGAGGGGCAGAGGGGCAGGCGGAGCCCAACTGAGAGGAGCAGAGGGGCAGAGGGGCAGAGGGGCAGAGGGGCAGAGGGGCAGGCGGAGCCTGACTGAGAGGGGCAGAGGGGCAGAGGGGCAGGTGGAGCCTGATTGCGAGGAGCAGAGAGGCAGGCGGAGCCCGACTCAGACAGGCAGAGGAGCAGAGGGCAGAAGGGCAGGGGGGCAGAGGGGCAGGCAGAGCCCGACTGAGAGGAGCAGCCGGCTGTGTCGCCAGCGACAGGAGGGATTCAGGTCAGTGCTGCTGAGATCTGGCCCCTGGAGGTGGTTAGAAATAGACCAGCCCTCACTGATGTGGAGCAGGCTGCACGAAGTGGTGAGAGGGTGGCCCGGACCGAGTGTGGAGGGCTCCCCACCACCTGATGGGCCGTGCAGAACAGGGGCCCCAGGCTCCTGTGAGTCAGGGTTGGCAGTGGACAATGGTGAGAGTGCAACTCCATGACCGATACGGTGGTCTGAGTCAAGCTCAGTGAATGTCCAGCAGTTGGCCACCGCGGCCCTCACTATCCGGGGCCTGACTGCAGCCCGGGGCCTGAGTGTTCCCTTAAAGGCATCACATGGTGAAAGCACTTGTGTAACGAGTAGAACAGGACAAAGACACCAGCTAGTCCATGACAACGGGCTACTGAGTCAATAAGCTGGTGGGGAGCAGGACAGAGGCATGGGGGCTGAGCAGGTGGACAGGACAGAGGCCGGCAGGGCCTCTGGAGATGGAGCCCCACGTGAGACCACAGGGTCAGGATTAGGTGCACCAGTGGGAGGAGGTGCTGGGGGGACCCCAATGGGACGGGACAGGGAGCAGCCATGGGCCGTCCAGGACACTTACTGCTTTCCTTCTGTGGCTGGTTTAAGAACATACTTGTCAAAATACATTCTCACCAGGCGCTCCCGCTCCTCCAGCCGTGGCAGGTCGAAGCTGACCATCTCGTCGATGCGGTCATTGATGGCCCAGTCAAACTGCTCGGGCTGGTTGCTGGCCAGGACCAGCATGAACCTGCGGCCAACAGAGATGGCGCAAGCTGAGTCCCTGCTCCCCAGGGAGGGGGGCCTCTTAAACCGCACTGGACAGTTTTCTAACACAATCTATTTGGCAACTTTTTAACCCAGAAAACCCCAGGAAGACCCAGCATTGCTCTCTGCTATCCATCCCTCCCTCCGACAGCTGTTCCTGCCCCAATTCATGCTTCTCCTCAGGCCCAGCCTGATGGAATGGCCATGTAAGCCTCGCTGTGCAAAGGGATGGGGACCCAGGGTCTGAGACAGACCTCTGCCCCTCCTCCAACAGGGCCTGGAGATCAGCTGAGTGGAGCTGCCAACTCAGCAGGGATGTGGACATGCCTCCCGGGGATCTGGGGGGTGTGGGGGGTCTCTGCTGGCAGCAGCCACAGCAGGTGAGGGCAATGAGTCTGAGATGGCAGCCACACAGATGACCGGCAGTGCTGGGTGTCCCTTGGTGAACAGCGGACAGGGGACAGAAGGGGCCTCACCAATGCAGAAGAGCAAGATTAGGGATCTAGAAGGAGCCAGCCCATCCTTGGGGCCACCTGCGCCGAGGGCACCCGGTGTGGGGTGAGCACCCAGACAGCCCATCTCGGGATGCCACGGGCTGGCCAGAAGCCAGGAGCAGTGCCCTGTGGACGAGGACTGGCCCTGGCTCTGCCTGAGAGATGCCAGCACATCTCCTCAGTGGTCCCCACAAACACCCCACTGTGCCTTAACTGGCCATTCCCATCACACGGGTGGACAACACAGGATGTCCCAGAGCGGGGAGGCTGCCCAGGCACTGTGGGCACTTGGCATGTGCCTGCCCTATTCCTGGCCCTGTACTGCAGCAGCCGTGTAAGCTCAAGCAGTGCCTCAGTTTCCCTCTGTGGAAGGCTGCTGTGAGGACGAAACAGGACGATGCAGGAAAGCGCTCTGCACACAGGGCCTCGCGCCAGTGGGTGGCCCTCACTTGCTGCTGTGCTGGCCTGTCCGGTGCAGGAACGCGTTCAGGGTGGCCCTGAGGTCCTCGCTTATCTTCTCCTGCAGAGAGAAGACAGCCGGCCTGAGCAGCAGGGTTCTGCAAGCAGCCAAGGGGAAGTTAAATCAAGGCCCTGGGAAGACATAGCCTCTGCCCCTTCAGGAGCAGGAGTGTGATGGCATCTTTACAAACCTAAACTTGAAGAAAAATCTGAAAAATGCCACACGTACAACTTCTGCTTCTCAAACACAATTTACAAAGAGAGCGCAGCTGAGGAACAGGTTCCGGTCAGGCCTCAGTCACAAACTACCAGTGACCTTCCCAGAGCGCACAGACGTGGCCTGGGAGGATGGGCCCAGCCATGCCTCACTCTGCTCAAGCCACTAGACACGCTGCCCCTGACTGTCGCCTGTGGCCAGCCCAGCCCACGAGGCCAGACAGAGGTTTTCAGAATACTCACAGTCGCTCGCTTCCTGAGGAAGGCGTCCGCTTCATCCACGAAGAGCAGCAGGCTGTGAAGGGGAGGGGTCCGCATGAGGTGTGGGTGGGGCCTTGTGTGCAGAGCCTGGCAGATGCCGCCCAGGACAGGCGCTGCCCTGTCAGGATGCTAAAGCACTGATCACACTGAGACCCACACCCACCGTTTCAGGAACCCAAACCACATGCCGCCTTCAGCAGTCCTGGGGATCCCAGACCTCAGCCTCGGATGTGCCAAGTGCCGGGGTCTCAAGAAAGCAACTAGAACGTGCACAACCGCCTAACCTGGCACTAAATTAAGCACTCTGCTGGCAGGCCCTCGTCTTTTTATTTTTTTGCTGAGGAAGACCAGCTCTGAGCTAACATCTATTGCCAATCCGCCTCCTTTTTTTTCCCCAAAGCCCCAGTAGATAGATGTATGTCATAGTTGCACATCCTCCTAGTTGCTGTATGTGGGACACGGCCTCAGCATGGCTGGAGAAGCTGTGCGTCGGTGCGCACCCGGGATCTGAACCCGGGCCGCCAGCAGAGGAGCGCGAGAACTTAACCATTAAGCCACGGGGCCGGCCCCTGGCAGCCCCTCATCTTAAACATTTTAAGGTCAGAAGCACTGAGAGGCTCTTGTGATGAGCACAGACCACCAGGAACCCAAGCTTGGGGTGAATTTCTCCCTCAGACCCCCGCCCCCGGGTGTTGCCAGATGGCAGAGGCTGCTCTGGCCTCGTGCAGGACCACGGGGACAGGCTGTGGGGAAGTCACTGACCCCCTGACCAGCAGGAGCCTGCTCACCCTCGCCGGCTGGTGCTGGCCCAGTCGAAGACCTTGTGCACAGCAGTCACACCGTCTCGCCCCATGGGGGCCACATCCCCACCCGTCATGATGGCGTAGTCCATGCCCGAGTGCAGTGCGAGTTTCTGGGCAAGAAGGGGCAGGCAGGGAAAAGGCAGCGTGCATCTCGTGTCCTCCCCTTATAGCCTGCCAGTCTGCCCCTCTGCCCCCACCCACTGTTCGCAGCACAGGGGGGCTGGCTGTGTGTGGAGACGGCCCTTGCTTGAAGAGCTGGGGAGGGGTTGCCCCTCCCACGTGCCCTGACGCCCAGTGCCCATTCCCCAAGAGCCGTGGCTGTAGCCTCTGCCCATGGCACCCCCACCCCAGGCCAGTGAGACCCCTGAGGGACCCTAGCCCCACCTGCACAGTCATGTGCTCTCACCTTGGCAAACAGCGTCTTGCCGGTCCCAGGAGGCCCGTACATCAGAATGTTCCTGTACAGGCTCCTGTTCTTCTTGGTGTTCCTCGTCGCAATGGCAATGTCCCGCACACGTGCCTCCAGGCTGGGCTGCCAGGGAACACAGCAGTTTGCGGGACGCCCTCCTGCCGAGTCTGACCCTCCTGGGCCAGCACAAGAGGCAGCTTATCCCAGGTTGGGGCTCAGATGGCAAATTCTACCCCAGCTACGGCCCCTGAACAGCAGTGCCACTTACGCTGAGGACGACGCCCTCCAATGCGTCCTGAGGCTTACTGAGGAGCCGCCTGCTGACCTGCAGGGGGACGGTCAGGGTCATCAGCAGAGCCCACGGCACAGCCCCCAAGCACTGGCAGCAGCTGGTCTGCCCCGTGGAAACACAACTGCCATGGAGCTTGCGCTCCACGATACGCGTGCCTGGGCCCTGCTTCAGAACACTGGAAGGTGAGGCCATCTGTGTTGCTGGGCTGGGTGACTCACAGGTTCTTTACTGACCTTCTTCTCAATCACCCTCAGTGCACGAGCAGTCAAGAGAGAGGTCCAGCCGCAGACAGCGGGGGACACACTTCAGGAGGGGCACAATTCGAGGAGGGAGGCAGCTGACCCCGAGCTACTTCCAGTGACTTTCCCAGGAGCCCAGGATTTTGTAAAGAACCCAAAGGCTACCTAGGGGGATGCTCACGTCAACAGACCCAAGAGGTGACTGAGCCGGGCAAGGGTCCCCCAGTGTTGACGAGGACAGACCACCCCCAGGGACAGCATGGAGGAGGAAAAAGTGAAAAGCAAATCCAACGTGCAGGAGGGAGCGGACAGGACACATGTCAAGGGGAAGGAGGACACGTGTTCACAGTCTGGCTATGACGCCAGAAGGGACGCGGAGACACAGCCCCAGTGAGGCCCGGACCCACAGTCACCTGCAGCGGGTGCCGCAGCGCCTCCAGCACCGTGATGCGAGAGGTCTCCCTCACCAGGGACGGTTTCCCCAGCCGGGCCTCGATGTACCGCCCTGCGACGGACGTGGCGTTCTTGGCGGAATAGACCCCGACGGCCAGCAGTGTCAGTCCAGCCACCTAGAGCAGGGCAGAAAGAAGGTGAGTGACGCCCACCCCACCACACCACTCAGCAGTCGACACAGCCCTCACTGCCTCATCCTGTCCCATGCAGAGTCTCCAACCCCAAATCCCTTACCAGCCGACACTCAATTACATATGACTGCGGAAGAAGGTTCCAGATAAGCAAGATATCAAAAAGCTTATCAGAAACGCCCTTTCTCAGAGAGCTACTGGAGGGTGTGTTCCAGCAGGCCTAAGAAAGTGTCCAAGCAACAAGAGCTCCAACCGTGAAGAAGTGAGGGGACTCCTGGGGTGATGGGGGACAAACCAAACACCATAGTGGGAGCACAGGCACAGGACACTCAACCGGGAGCTGCAGTGAGAGGCTCCCGGAACCCACACCAACATCTAAAAATAGAACTAAAAACTATTCCCCACAAAATGAACAGCTCGGCCACCACAGCAGGCAGCAATGACTCAGACCATATGAACGAGGTTCTTAGGAGACGAGACAGCGAAACTCGGGCCAGAGAAGGGGCACATGCCAGGAGGAAGCAGGGCTGGGGCCAGGGCTGGCTCCTGGCTCTGATTCCAGCAACCTTCAGATGGTGTCCTGCCTCCTCCAGCAACCCCCTCCGCATGTCTATCCAGCTTGCTAGGGAGGTAGACATTCGACTCAGGGACAGCTGATCAAACAGGAAGGACAGCCGGGGGGGCTTTGCGCACCAATTCTCAACAGGGTCTGTCAGCGGGCAGCCAGGACTGACCACTAGCCCACAGGGCACCCCAGATGGGTGGGATTCTGAAGTGAAGACAGACGGAAGGGACTTCACCACCACAGGTGACACGAAGGTGCTGTCTGGATCCTCACAGGAACAGACCACCAGAGGCATGTCTGGGACAGCTGGAGAGACCTGGAGCAAATGGGGCACTTTAAAATACTCCAGGAAAAAATGACCGGTGAAATGGATGTTCTGGAAAGAATGGCTCCAATTTCATTGCAAGGCAGCGCTCCTCATCAATACCGAGAGGCAGTGCCGGTTACAGACTCCTCCCCAGGATGCCGCAGCCCCTGGGACAGCGAGGCGTGCAGCACACACTGAGCACCACCTGTGTGCTGGGCTGGGGCACCGAGGACACAGCAGGAGCAACGCAGAGCCCCGCGGTGGGGACGGGCAAGGAGGAGGGTCAGGCAGGAGACGAGCATGCGGGGGGCTGGAAGGCTCGGTGCGGGGTTCAGACCCAGCACAGCCAAGCCCACATCAGCTCTGCCCTCTCAGACCTGGACGTATGCCCCTCCTGGACCTGCTCAGGGAGGACACAGGAGCCATGCCCACGGCCGTGCACAGCAAGCAGCCTTGACCTGAGGCCAGGTCCGCCTCCTGCATGAGTTCTGGTCTGAGCAGTGGTGCCTGGGGGAGGCAGGACAGGGTCAGCTGGGAGGAGGCTGCAGCCCTGCAGCTCACCGTGTGAAGCAGGGAGCAAAGCAGGGAGCAGAGGGCATGGCCAGGCCTAGACCCACACCCAACTCCAGGCGGCCCAGCTCAGACGCCAGGGAGGAACTGCCAAGTTCACCTTGCCCCGCCAGGCCACAGGCTGGATTCCCCTGGACCCACTTTCAGCAGGGCCTCCACTACGACCCGCAGCTCCAAGGGCAGGGGTCCCCTGCATGTTACTTGACACACATTTGAGAAGAATGCGACGGGAGCCCTTGTACACCCCACATCACTGGCCCAGCTGGGTGACTCCAAGGGGCTATTTTATGAACCAGCAGTCTGACCAGCATCAACTTTCCTGGACTGGAGCCCTAGCTCTACCTGCTTTCCTCGAGGCTCAGCCTGACCTTACCCCTCACCACCCCCAGTGAGGCTGGAGCGATACCCAGAGCAGGACATTTGCGGAAGGGGCTCCAGGGACACAGTGCCCCCGGACGCCTGGCAGTGCTTCCTCGGGGCACAGCCGCTGCACTAAGAATCAGTGGGTTCACTGTCTGACCCTCGTTAGGGTGTCAGTCCCACATGAGCAGGTACCAAGTCGGCCTAGAACAGCGGAGAGCACAGAGCCGACACACAGGAAGTACTAGTGGAGGCAGTGGCTTTTCAGGAACTAGTTCTAGCCAACGCCCCCTCCGCCCTGTGTGCTGAGCAGCCCTGCAGCACAGTGCACAGACCACTGGGCTTTTAGAATGTGTGCCCAGAGCCCAATGGCCTTGGTGGGCTGACGTCTCCTTCCCACTGGAGGGTGGGAAACCCTCCCAGAAGCTTGGTTGGAAGGGGGCTCCCTGCACGTCTCCCTGACCCTCAGAGTCTCAGCTGGGTCCCACTGTTGAAGCTGCCAGGCAGGTCTCCAGTTACATTTTCCGAAGGGCAGGAGCTTCTAAGATGTAAAATGAAGCTCTAGCACCCCCGTCCTACGTCTTCCTTCCAGTCAGAAGATGAGAAACCCTTTTATTAAAAGGGTTTTGACGCCTTTTACTGAACGCCGCCAGGGCCAACACTGAATCATTCTAAGTCCCCCAAACCAGAGGCCCCATCCATCAGGTTGACTAGGAGAGTGGAGCGGGAGGGAGCGGCAGCAGCAATTCCTAAACCACAGGCTTGCTCAGCGCCCCACCTGCGAACTCACACCGCTCAGGACAGGGACGAGGCCCAGCGGGGGCCCTGGCACAGACCGTGGGGAAGATGTGGCAATGGTGTTTACCGTGGCTGTCACTTTGTCCCAGTCTGTAACAAAGGCACGGAATCCTTCGCCAAACAGGGTGCCAGCTGTCCTGTAGGGGAAGCAGTGACATGACCAGGAGGGCAACGGGCCTGGGCACGTGGCTGGGGAAACGGCAAGGGTTCCAAGAGGAGTCTTCCCCGCCCATTACACCACCGACGGCTCTGCTGGGGGCCCGCCAGAGACGTGGCCTCACCTGATGGACTCCAGGATGGTCTGGCGGTGCTCGGCAGCCTTCAGGCGGATCTGCTCGCGGATGATGTCCGCGTTCTCACGCTCGGCCTTGGCCCGGGCACGTGCCTCAGCCTCTACCCGCAGCATCTCGTTCTTGTGCCGCAGCTCCATCTCCCGCTCCACGGTGGCTGCCCGGGACAAGGCAGGGAGAGCTGTGCTCAGCTCCCAGCCCCGTAGCCCGGCCGCGCTCTGCTCACTGTGGACCACCCCCAGGGCCAGGCCCCTCCAGCGGGCTGGCTCTCAACAGAGGAGCCCTGAATTCAGACCCCAAGGCCTGGGCAATCCTTCTCACAGGACAGTAACTCACATGGAACCCCGGGGGTGCCCAGCTGCCAATGAAGAGCAGGCCCCAGAATGCCTAGCCCACCCCGGTTTCTGCTGTGAAGCCCCAGCCGCAGAATGCAGAGGCCCCAGCATGGGTCTCAGGAAGCACACAGATTAAACGCTACTGGGGATCCATGTGCCTAAAGCAGCGCCTTCCCATGCCTACTGCCCACTCGCCCCTCGAGCGCTTCTCAAGCCACGGCCTCTGGGGCAGGCTCCAAGGACACAGCCCCAGGCAGAGCGGACAACTCTACCTCGCCGCATGGCCTCCTGCTTCTGCACAGACTCCTCCTGCTTCCGTAAGTTCTCCTCATTGAGAAGTTGCTGAGAAGAAAAAAGGGAAAAGCTTTCAAAATCAGGAAACAACCAACATTGCTGGTCGACCGCTCGGCCCATGGGGAAGCTTCCACCACCCCGGGGGCTCTGACCTTCTCAGGGACGGGCGCCCCAGGGCCCGCACACCCCACAGCCTGACACAGGTGGGGCTGAACACCAGCCAGCACATGCACACACTGTGGGGCACGGTTCAAGAGCCCCTGCCCCCAGCATAGCTCGGCCATAGGGCAGACCTCGGGGCACCCACAGCCCTGACTCATGGCTGTCCTCACAAAGCACTGTTTTTTGCCTGACAAACTTACAAGCTATAATACCCACAACAGTCACAAACATTTGAACCCCCACCCCATGAACTTGTCACAGCCAGGTTCCCAGTCAGGTCCCAACCGGGAGAATCCTCAGAGTGGCTGGAGCCTGCCTCTGCTGGGGAGGCCACACAGCACAGTGGGGCAAGAGCCTAGAGGCATGTGCCTCCCATGTGCGTGTGCAGGTGTCCGAGTAGAGCTCCCCCAGGACCCAGCACTTACTGCCCGCCCCTGGACTCGGGCCCACCACCTGCCCCAGGAGAGGCTCTGCTCTCGGCGGGGACAGAGGAGGGCCTCTCAGTGCAGGCGCGCCGAGCTCACGTGCCCCAGGAGACAACCCCTGCTCTCGGGGGGGACAGACGTGGGCCCCTCAGTGCAGGCGTGCCGAGCTCACGTGCCCCAGGA